TGTTATTATTTCACTCCTATATACTAATGTCTATTCAGTTTTGTTGTTTTTTATCATACTCACCTTCCGTTCTCTATCCCTTCACAAACTCATTTTTATTGTGTGGCGCATATTCATTTTGGTGCCCCCTTGCATTAATGTTTATGTGTTCAAATAAATAAATAATGCAATATTTTGTTGGTAGAAATGAATTTGTGAACACACAGTTCGACGTTGTATTAAGTGAACTTGTATAGTCGTGGATGTGTTCTCGAATATATTACTTTCTAGATGTCACGTAATATTTTAGGCATCCTGGGGATTATTTTACAGGTTATCCATTTTTTTAATTTTAAATTTGAACTGATTTATATCATGTATACATGTCAGTACAATAATAAGTAGCCATTTTAAATGAAGATTCTTTAACAACATTTACTATGTTCGTCATCATAATGCTCAATAAGCACCTTACTGTAAAATCCAGGAAAGTTTATTGAAATGACAAAATTGTCCTTAAATAACCTTGGTTATATTGAAGAATGATCAATTTTAAATATTGTAGGAGTTAATTGGAAAAAAGATAGGGTTGACCAAATCAACAGTTGGCATATCACTACATGGAATCATTGATTGTTAATCTGAGTTGTGTTGTTGGTAGGTGCGGACTGTTACTGACAAACGCAATCGATTGGTTTAAGAAGTTGGATGATATGGCTCAGAATGGGTCGCAATTTTTGGTCCTTTTTCTACACATCTTGCTAACTTGTTCTCGTTGTTCTAGTATGTAATAGCATCTTGGAGCTAACTCGCATCTCCACTAGGCGCTACATTATTTATGACTCACTCATCATTAAGTATATACACTTACCTAGTTACGTCTGTTACCCTTCGTGAAGGAGTATAAACCGTACACCAACATTCTCCATCCAACTCTGTCTTGGACAATCCTTTTCACTTGTTTCCAGATGCTATTCATCCTTTTGATGTCTGCTTCGAATTCTCGACGGAGTGTGTTTTTGGCCTTCCTTTGTGCAGTTCTATGTCTGATTTCAGTGCTTCAGCTTATTATCAGGTGCTGTTGATTTATCTAATGGCCATCCTGATTTCTTTGATCGTTGGTGGAGTGACAACTAGAGTAAGGTCTGTGTGTGCTGCTTCGATGTTCGGTGGGTTGAGTGGAGTTGGCCTATTCAAGAGTTCCTCGAAGTATTCTACCCATCTGTTCTTCTGTTCGTGAATCTCAGTGATTGACTTGCCTTCTTTGTCCGTAACTAGTCTCTCTGATGTACTATATTTCCGTCAGTTTCTTCGTTGTGTTGTATCGTTGTTTCATATTTCCTTCTCTTTCAGCTTTTTCCTCTGCCGTTGCTAGGTTTTTCATGTATTTCTACTTGTCAGCTCTAATGCTACAGAGTATTCAGCTTGTGCCTTGACTTTCTCTGTCCTTGTTCGACCGTTGTTAATTTCTATCTTCTTGTTCTTCCTTTCTTGAATCTTTTCCAGGGTTTTGATAGAGATGCGTTACTTATGATAATGCTTCTAGCTTCCCAGAACCTCCTGACAGGTTAAAGTTAGTGCTTTTATCCCGTTCCGATTGTCCTCCATAGTAGTTTCTTTCAGTAGATCTTGTAGGGCTCGGAAGATGTTGTTGAGAGCTATCTTGAATTCATTGATTTTGTCAGTATGTCGAAGGAAAACTGTGATAAACCTTTCTATTACTGTTTCCCAAGTTGTCCATTTCTTCTTTAGCTCCAGTTTCATCTTGGCTACAGTCAGGTGGTGATCTGAAGCTATGTCAGCTCCTCATGGGTCTCACGTCTTCCATTGACCTGCTGAATATTTTAGTGATACCAATGTGATCGATTGGTTGTTAGAAGGAGCATCGCCCTCGTTACTTTCGAAGAATATCGGCTTCCATTATGAGACGTCATAATTCTTCTGAATGAAGATCCTTCAACTTGGAGACCAGAGTTTAAATGGTTTAATTTGTTTATTCTGGTTAGCGTTGTTTTAGCAAGGTTGTTTTTTACGAGATGGGGTCACTGACCCCATGCCAAACTCTCCTTAATCCGGTCTTGGGACTAGCAGTAACCCTGGAAGAGTTACAGGCGGAGTTAATTATATCATACTTTTTCCCCAGTTATAAAGAGGTGTCTTATGAAAATTCTAGTTGCCTTTCTTTTAACATGATTACTCAATTATCATTTTCATGTTTACGTACTTGTGGTAATTGAGTCCTACTGGCCAAAGTCAAATTAGTCTGGGCTGGGTGAGTTCTTAACCTTGAAACATGATGATTGGGAGCGATCAGTCAGTCATATGCAACATATTACATCGGTTCAGGTAGTCACATCACAGTAATACAGTGAGATGAAATTGTGAAGACAAATTCTAGCCTAGTGAAGGTAATAATAGCATTAGTAGTAAGTAATAGAAAATATTAGGAAGTGATTGTTGTAATCAACAGTTAACTAGCTTCCGCACTCCAATGTCTATTAGGTTTATCTAAAATGTTTAACCTGTTCTAATCTGATTTTTAATTTTTAATTGTTGTGCATATAAAAATTTACCGATGATTTGCACTATCATGTAACGTCAATGAATGTAATGGTTATACATTGTTATCTAGATACCTTAGTTGTTGAAGTATTGTTTGTCATTACCATGTTAACTTTAATGAGATATAGGTTTCTTCATAAAAATAATACACAATGATAATAACTCCGATTATCAAGTGAATGTATCCTAGACTTATGATCTTTTTAGTTCATTTTCATTTGAAGAGTGTTATCTTTAGTACTTGTAATTTTTTGACTTCATTATTATTATCAGTGTCGACCACATGATTTGAAAACTAGACATCATAATAGCAAACACCTAAGCATGTTTTCACCTCTGATACATTACTCTCTTATCACATACTTCTAATAATTAAGAAGATAGAAAATTCGAGATGGTATGGAAATTTTGTATCTCAGGTGAAGTTCTATACTCTGAGCTGGATGGTTTGGTCGTAGAACTGTCATTGTTCTTCTGAATGGCGTCATTGTCACAAACTTCAGGTAGAAGTGAAGTGTTCGGATTTCCCAACATATGACTCACAGCTTGTCCTGTCGATCTCAATCTTCATTGGTCAACTAAATCATCCAGTTCAGACAACAAAACTCCATCTAAATAGTGAGAAAATGGAAGGTTTTATATACACTTCCAACTAACATCAATGCTACAGTATGAAGTGCATTGGTATTTATCGAAAATTTAAAAGTATCATTAAAATTCAACTGATCAAAGAATGCAAACTTCAGAGTATCAGGTTGTGGTTTCATATATGTAGCTTAGAAATTTCACAATGGTAATCTAAACGTGTGTTTTCTGTAGCACACCATTGAGTCTGTGAATTTATTTTTTCTTCTCTAGTCATATATTCTATATTATAATCTATTTTACTACCACTGATACTACCTACTATGTCATTCTTCTTGATAATTTTTTTCTGGTTGTGTTTATATAGTGTAGCGTCTTGGTGTAATGCACATATATTGCCAGGTTCTAAGTTCTTTATAACTAACTGATTAGTTGATTGTTCTTAGGAAATATTACATTTCCCGTAAATTATAATATCAACAAGTTCAGTGTTTAAAGTTATAATATTTTCCATTTGTTTCATTATTTTATCAATGTTAGGATCGCAGTATTGCAGTATGGGATATGGGTCCTTGGCCAAAAGATGTTCAATTACGTCAAGTTCTTGTTGGACATCGAGCTGCTGTTAATGTTGTTGATTTCGATGATAAGTACATTGTTTCAGCTAGTGGTGATCGTACAATCAAAGTGAGTAATCTTATTATATTCATTTTCAGATTATTATGTCTTATTTGATTAAACTTCAATCATCTTAGACTTTCAAATTGTTTGATTGATTTTCAAATAATTATAGGTTTGGGCTACGGATACATGTGCTTACGTGCGTACATTGACAGGTCATCGTCGAGGTATTGCTTGTTTACAATATCGTGATCGATTAGTGGTTTCCGGAAGTTCCGATAATACAATCCGTATTTGGGATATTGAGACTGGTGTATGTTTCAGAGTTCTTGAAGGACATGAAGAACTAGTACGGTGTATCCGCTTTGACTCTAAACGTATTGTGTCAGGTGCATATGATGGGTAAGTGTTGTTTTTGCTATTATTATTAATATTAATATTATTATGTTGTATACAATCTATGGAAAGTTTCCCCTTGTATTTTAAATTTCCTCAAGGACAATCAATCAGTCATAAGTGGCATAAAAACTGGCACATATATCTGTCGGTTCGAGCTGCCATAGTACACTAGCACAGAAAAATAAAAGTATCAAGACAAATCCTAGAGCAGTAGAAACAATGACAGTTTTAATGAAATTAGAAACACTCAGCATAGACAATACGTCTCTATACAACTAAAAATTAATTTGTTGAACAAAATATGTAGGATGATTTTAAAAGTCAATATCTAAGGTAAGAGGAAGAGTATCGAGTGCTTCTGCACCATTGTTACTGAATCCGAATTATACCAACTTAATTATCTAATCATTAGTTTCGAAAATTATACTTTCCTTAACCAGGTAGTCTTCATCTATCTATATAATTCAGTTTCACTGCCAGTGACTTCATAAACTGATGTAACATCTCGATTTGTCTACCCTTTAACTGTCTTCTAACCTATTCCTACACCAACAAGCTTTGCGTGCCATGGTAAGCTATAATTGAGGATACGCAATACATTTTCTCTCCACCTGTGTTGATAAAGATCCACTACCTCACGGAAACTAACATAATAACTACTTCAATGTATGTTTTTTTTTCGATTTCAGGTAACTGTTTTCAGAGGCTTTCTTGATTTTATTCATATCCCATTAACTGATAAGACGTTCCTTTCTATGTAAGAGAAAATCTTGTCCAATAAGTACTAGTTAATTGGTTGTGTAATACATGTAATAATTATTCTATTGTATATGAGGAGTGAGAATTAAGTAAATCATTCAATAGTGCTGTAATACATGGGGAAATAAGTGGGAGTATTTGTGGATGATCATAGTTTGTACTAGGTTTGAAGCGGTTGCGAGTTCACTTAGACTGCGAACGAAACAAAGACTCGGTGACCGGAAATCAATAAGCTAGCTATTTTATGCGTCCCAGCCTCGCTAACTAGAGGAAGAAGTCCAAGCTTGGAATGGGGAAGTATATTCCGCAAACAGCCAGAGACGAGCGATAAGAACAGACACAAATCAAAACGTATATATACGACACAAAACCGTCCTTGGGTAGAGTTACAAAATAGCATACTAAAAGACATAACGGACGAATGGCATTTATGATTCTCCCAAGTGGGAAATACGACATGAAGGTGAAAAGAGCGCCTTTGGCTCGAAACCAAAGAAATTCAAATTTTCTAGATAAAATTACAAAATTTGTGTTGGAGACGTTAAATCCCCAGAACTCACCTGGGAAAAGGCCTAATTTTGTAATTTTATTTTGGAAATTTGAATTTCTTTGTTTTCGCGCCAAAGGCGCTCTTGTCACCTTCATGCCGTATTTCCCACTTGGGAAAATCATAAATGCCATTGTTCCGTTGCGTCTTTTATTATGCTATTTTGTAACTCTCCCCAAGGACGGTTTTGCAATGTATATATACGTTTTGAATTGTGTTTGTTGTTATCGCTCGTTTCTGGCTGTTTGCAGAATATACTTTCCCATTCCAAGCTTAGACTTCTCCCTCTAGTTAGCGGGGCTGGGACGCATCAAATAGCTAGCTTACTGGTCTTGGTCACTGAGTCTTTGTTCTCGTTCGCAGGTCAAATGAACTCATGTTATCTTCAAACCTAACAATGTGGTCCTTTTCCAAGTGAGTTCTAGGGATCTAACGTCCCCAACAGTTTGCGAAAAGATTAGCAAATATTAGCGATTAAGAGTGTGTGTATTGTGTGCTGCCATAACATTGAAAATGATAACTTCAATTATTCATCTGCTCTTTTTTTTATTACATAACCTATGCTTAACTTTAATCATTACTCACTCTATAAGTCCCATCATGTACAATATGTTCATCATCATAAGAGGAACTGACATATTTTGAACAGTGCACTATATATATATATATATAACTCTAGGCACACCACATTTTTAATTGATAAATTTATTATTTTAACACGTAGATATTGGTACAAGGAGGCACCAGTTACATATGTGCCAGACAGATCTCATTTGATATGTGTGAGGGCTTTGATACCGCCCGGATGCCCAAACGGAAGCGGGTGGTTTTCTTAGGGGAGATGCAGTCCGATGGTAGCAGGTGACCAACGACTGGTTCATACGTCATTTGTTCCCTCAGGATACTGGAGCCCATGTACACCAGTGATTTGGAATCTGGGTTTTCCAACTCCCCTAGGTGGACTCTCTATGTCCACCGACCCGGTTAAAGCTCCGGACATTCGCTTTTCATCCTCTCGATTTCGTAAACAACACCGCTTATGCGAGAATGCAGTGAGTAGCACTTCCCTGGCAGAGGCTATATACGTGTGGCCATGTGAGAGGATTTTGAGAGGGAAAACGGACTCTTCCCACTCTCGGCCGTACCAGAGCATATTTTTAATTAATCGATCATTGAATAACATTGTCACTAATCTTATGCTTGTCTAATCCTTTAATACGGATTACATTCTATCAATCAAATTATTATTTAATTACTAGTCTATCTATATTGAAATCATGTTCACTATGTTGATATATGTAAGATATTGGTTAGAGGTTAGTTATTTAACTACAATTCACCATAATTAGATTTTATGCTAACTGTTGGTTATTAGTCGTCAAGAGGTACTTGAAATCTTTAAGAAAATTAATTTCTTTGATTATTATTATTATTTGTTACATTTTAATTGTATTCACTATTGTTAATTCACTTTGATTAATTATTTTATAGAAAAATTAAAGTTTGGAATTTAAAAGCTGCACTCAATCCTCGTTCTAAACCAAATCAATTATGTATTCATACATTACAACAGCATACTGGTCGTGTGTTTCGTTTACAATTTGATGATTTTCAAATTGTTTCATCATCACATGATGATACTATTTTAATATGGGATTTTGCACGACCAGCTACTGGAAGTGAAGAACGTGATGATGGATTTGATGATGGAATAAATGCTGCATTAGCATCACAAAATAATTGTCTCTGTTCATTAAGATCAGCTGCTGTACAATGTCATGTACAATCAGATAATAATATTAATACCGGAGGTGGATGTAGCAGTAGTAGTCATACTAATACTAATAATAATAATAATAATAACAACACAAACGACAAAAATAACTTAACACTTGTCTCCATTGATAACAAGAATAGTGTTACTGCTTCCACTTCCACTACTACTATTACTAATGCTAACATCAACACCATTACCACGTCTACTATTAGTGGTAATAATAATCCTAATGATAATTTCAGCAATTCTAATAATTCCATTATGAATCCATCCAAATCTAGTTTTATCTCATCAACTAATAGAAAAATTTAAAGAGAAAAACAAATTAAATTGGTATCAACCCACCAATATTTCACATTTATCATTAATTCTAATTTAACTTGCACAGTAATTTCTTCTTCTTATTTTCTGTCTCTTCTCTCGATGTTCATGTTTCTACTATTCATGTTTATCTTTGAATTTGACGATGATGTTGAGTATTTAGTTATTTTTACTCATGCATATATATATATATATATCGGCCTATTGTTACTGTTATCAATATTATTACTGTTACTTTCGGTTGTGTTATTTTACAACTTCTCGGTAAAATGATTAGTCAGAACATGATTTTTGATTGCTTTTAATGGTGTATGGGTGGTTTCAATTCCCCGGTTGCCTAAACTGTGGGAGTGTACTTTTTATGAGGTACCTGAACAGAAAACTAGATAGGTAGTGATCTGGACAACATGGACAGTGAACGTAAACCGTAAAAAGCAGTTGTCTTGAGGTCGATCGTACACGGGTTTTTTATAGCATTTCATAATGTGTTAGTTTTATACTTCTAAAACCATACCGCAAGCGGAACAAGGTGAAATGGTGCACATTTAGTGCAGAACATTTTAATGCCTCCCTTCCCTTATGGGAAGGCAGCATCTCTGTAGATGCTAGTTGTCCGAGAGAAACATCTTGCCACCGTCACATCCCTGTCCAGTCATTAGTCTGATTTCTCCTTTGAAACTTAAATTGTTTTGTCTAGTCTTATTGTTCTCCGAACTATCTACCAAACGAACTAGTATCCCAACCGTTGGGATTTTAATTCCGGCTAATTATCACGTGAATTATTCACCAATCGGAATACGACTTATACAATCTCAGCACTGTGCCAAACCAATGACTTTCAACCGGTATGAGCAGCCTAGCTTCCTTATCGGTCCTTTTTCCTCCTAGCCCTACAATTTGAGTTCAGACACTAATATATAGATATACGTAATCCAGTTACTGAATAGTTATGCGATAAGAATATATATATATATATATATATATATATATATATATATATATATATATATATATATAATACCAGTTCATTAATGGTTGTCAGAAGTTGTCCGTTGTTTAACCTTCACTAAGATATAACCAACAATATAGCTCGTCTATTTCATTGCAATATGCAAACCGGCCTATAACTTCAAGGTAGCAGCTATAGTCAGTCACAGCTGAACTATACTTAAGTGTAGCGATTGGTTTGTTGTTTCGAATAATCAGGTTCTTAAGGGCGGGTTTGATTAAGACAAGTGGTTAATGTTGTTCGTTGACAGAACAAAACTTGATATTTTGGTTTTCACTAATTGATTATTGAACAGTAACATGTCACGTTTTTCATGTCCGTTATTACTGGGCAGGTTCAAGTTCTAATGTCTTTGGTGGCTGAGAACAGTCAATCACATTTCTCTTTTCCAGGAGATTAATGTGTTCCGTTCAAGTTTGATCTATACCACAGTCGTCGATGTTACCACTGAGTAGGTATTATCTCCTCTGTCTGACATGACGACAATAATTAGTCAGTAAATAGTAACAAATATTCTCTATTTTCTAGTCATTATTAGTGATCTGATTATAATCATAATACAGTATTCGAGGTGGGTTTGCAAAGAACTACAATTTGTGGTCTAAGCTAAAAGATAGTCAGAGGAAGCCCTGAACCTGTATTTCGTGCCGTTTGGTACTCATCATCAAGGCGCACCTTTAGTCGTGGGGCAACTGGTTCTTTACATGGGGTTCGGACCCTTATCACTCAGCCTCGCTGTTTGAGATGCTATTACTGAGCTATTTGACCCGACACTGATTATCGAATACTCCGGGCGGTTTGAGTAGATTGCTGACGGTTATTTGATTTATGTAAAATGAAAAAGTGGAAGGATCAAGGGCCGTGAAATTTAAACATACAGCTATCGGATAATATTCAAGGAAAGAAATGTAATCTCACAGGCATAGTTGAGAACTGATAATTCCAAAACGTAGATTTAATATTATGCAAATACACTATCCCGATGAAGAGAAGTTACTTAAGTGTTGGTGTAGAGTGACGAATTCCATTCATTTGATTGTTCCACAGTGATCCGTAGAGTTGCGATTTGGTTGGTACAGGGTCGATCGCTGTGGAATCCAGCTTGTTGGTCTCGAAGTTGAGCGTCTATGGAGTCCTTCATCCTGTTTAACAATACCCTGTTGAAGACTTTTCCCGGTAGTGAGAGAATAGTGATGCCCCTGTAGTTATCACACTTGCTGAGATCGTCTTTCTTTGGTATTTTGATCAGAAGTCCTTCTTTCCAGTCTGTTGGTACTTGTTCCTCATCCCAAATCTTGCTGAAGAGAATGTGGAGTATCCTTGCAGTTACCGCTACGTCTGCTTTCAGTGCCTCTGCTAGAATGTTGTCTGGTCCTGATGCTTTGCCACTCTTGATTTGTCTAATATCCATGCTGATTTCTTCAATTGTTGGTTTGCCAACATCGATTGGGAGGTTTGTGGGTGCTACTCCGATGTTGGGTGAGTTCAGTGGAGGTGGTCGATTCAAGAGTTCTTTGAAGTGTTCTACCCACCTGTTTTGTTGTTCTTCAATGTTGTGATTACCTTGCCTTCCTTGCTTTTCACTGGTCGTTCTGGTTTATGGTGATTTCCACCGAGTTTCTTTGTTGTGTCATACAGTTGTCTCATGTTTCCATCACTTGCAGCCTTTTCCTCCGTCATTGTTAGATCCTTCACATATTTACGTTTGTCGTTTACAATAGATATACGAAAGTCAGTTAATTAGAAGATACATTACATCGCATTCGTGAGCAAGATTGAAGGTCCTGGGTTCGACTGATTTTAATAGTTAATAATACTTTTCATATATATTTCAGTTGAACCGTCATTATGGATAATGTGTATAATCTAATTTTGTAACTAACTAGTCGACTTAAATGTTGTTCATCGTTTTTGACTTGATTTGTATAACTATAGGTTGTTTTTATTCATGTTATTGAAAAATTCATTACTTGCCAAGGCTTCTACTAGAATCAACCAGAAAAATGGATATTTAGTAATTTCCACTTTAAATTTTCAAACCATGAGTATTCTATTAAATTAAACGCTATTATATGCCCTTATCATTCATAGCTTACCACCAAATGCCCTGGTACGGCCGAGAGTGGGGAGGGCTCGTCCGGCGTTTTAACCGGGCCGGTAGACACGGTGAGTCCACCTAGGGCAGTTGTAAAACCTTGAGTCCAAACCAATGGTCTACATGGGCTCCAGGATCCTGAAGTAAAAAGTGGCGTATGAACCAACTATTGGCCACCGGCTACTATAGGACTGCATCTCTTCACGATACTCCACTGCCTTGTGGATCAGACCTTTAGGTCAAAGGTTCGGGGTGTGGCCCACTACGAAAACCACCTGATTCGGCTTGGGCACCCGGGCAATATCACAGCACACACATATAAAATGAAATGACGATATTTACAGATAGCTTAAAACATACCCACACTTTTCGTCTTTATCTCATGATCAGTTTCCGTTATTTTATTTTTTCAGTATATTTAGGTTAATTAAAAAACAACATGGTTAGCTAAAGTCAAGTCATAACACTTGGAAAAGTAAACATATCTAGTTTATTAATAGTTTAATTAATGAGTCGACCTAATCTAGACCACCAATGAAAACTTGAAGGCATTGATCAGTCGTTTCGTCTTAGTATGGGACTCCTCAGTATGGCACATCCACAGTTCTGTACGCTGGACTCAAACATAGGACCTTCGGTCTCGAGCGCGAAATGGACTTCTAGACCATTGAGATGGCATCCAACGGTGTTAATGTTTAACTCCAATCAACCTATGATCTTACACAACCTTTTATCCATTGTCTGAGGTGGATAACTGTCTCCACTCTACATGGATTGGATTCCGCTGGTCACCGCTTAGATTAATTAAATGAACATACTTAATTTAACGACTGTCAATATAACAAGTTGGAATGAGAAGACAAGTATACTGTTTTTCAAACCCAGTGTAATATTTAATGACGTATGTGACACTTTGATATCGATTTTATTCTCAGTGTAACACTCTAGTCAGTACGATAGTTTCCTCTATAACATTATTCCTAATTGATATGTTTATACCAATCAAGTTTAGCGTTTATTCAATATGACAGTTTTATTCCTTATATATATTTCACAGTAACCTTGTGTATGTTTTCATATACATGATGTTTGTAAAATTAGTGTATTTTTCGTAATGATGACGTGATTTTGGACGACTTGTTTTGTGGATGTGTTTACGAAAAGTCAATATATCATTATTTATACTAGTGTTCGTGTTTTCGCTTAGCGTATTGACGACTGCAATGGTTTCATTTTGCAAGTATAAATATTAGAACCGGGTATGAAACAGACCTACCATATACATAACAGAGTAGACGCGGATATAGCAGCTACGCAACATGCTTAGAGACTATATGCATCGATTAACCACCATGAAGAATGATTTGATAACTTATTTCAGCCCGTTAATTCTCGCTAAGGAGCATAGGCCGACCACCAGCATTCTCCATCTAACACTGTCCGAGACAATCCTTTCCAGCTGCTGTTCATCCTTTTCAAGTCTGCTTCTTATTCTCGACTCAATATGATCTTCGGCTTTCCAATTTTTCGTTTACAATCGCTATTCACAATTAACACTTGCCTCGTTATGCAGTTTCGTGATTTTCTCTATGTACATCCTATCCACTTCAAATGTATCTTCCTAATTTACTCCTCAGCTGCAAGCTTGTTTGTCCTCTCGCACAAAACGCTGTTGCTCATCGTATCCGACCAACGGATATTGAGTATCTTGCGTTTATAAACAACTGTTTATAAATACTTGCACATTTTTGATGATGGTTGTAGTGGTTGTCCAAGTTTCAGCTCCACACAGTAGCACGGACTCGACATTTGAATTGAAGATGGTGACTTTGATAATGGTTGATAGAGAGTTGTTTTGAGTTCCATATATTCTTCAATTGTAGGGATGCGGTCCTGGATTTGCTTTGTCAGTCCTTGCCTTTACTTCTATATCATATCCACCACGTTCATTGATGATGTTACCTATGTACGTGAAAGATTCCACATCTTTCAGAGCTTGTCCAACAAATGTGTTTGGTTTGGTGTTCTCCGTGTTGCATTTGAGGATCTTGCTTTTCCCCTTGTATATGTTGAGGCCTACTGAATCAGAGGCTGCTGCTGCTACACTATTTGTCTTTATCTGCATTTGTTTGTGTGTATGGGATAGAATGGTCAGGTTATCTGCGAAATCCAAATCGTCTAATT